CAGAAATTTCAGATTAGAATTGCCACAGAGTGATCCCTGCAATTCTATTTTTTTATGTTTATTTCCAAGCTGTGCTTTGAAAAAGGTTCTGAGTAGGACTCATTAGAATTGAATGTTTGAATTCCTGAGTATTTTGGGTGAAAAATCTTCAGCCTGCCATTTCAGGTTTCACTTACAAAATGGTATCTCTGCCCCATGTGTGTCACGCTGTGAAATGAAGTGTGACACTTCAGTTCTTTTGTTACCTCTAGAAGTTCAGAAAGTTAATGACTGGTGCATATTCATGAATTCAGGATGAAGGATGCAAGGCAGGGGTGTTACTTCAGTGCACCACGTTTTCCCTTAAAAACTGTCACTGGAACAGCACCCTGACTTTATATCTAGGACTATCATTTGGCTAAAACTTCCAGTTTCTCAGTTCAATAAAAGAGACAACACAAGGTTTAGCTACTGGTAGTTGGAAGAGAGCTGTTGGAGCTGCCCAGGGATCAGGTTATTCATCTCTTTTCTCTGGACACTTTAGAATTTGAGGAATTACATTCTGACTTCTGTGCTACCAAATTGATCTGCAAATCATATTCCATCTCAAATGGTTATGAATTAAGGATATGTGACTGTAAGACAATTTCTGTAGGGTTCATCCTCTGTGAAAATGGCAGTTCACATCTAAAGCAGACATACAGTATCTACTGAGGACTAAGAGAAGCTGGCTATAAAGAAAATGACTTCTTGATGGCAGAAGGTGTTTGCTTCCTGCTGCAATTGCCTGCGTTATCACCCTTCAGTATTCAGCAGTGTTGGGATAACTGTCTAGAAAGTTTTCCTGAACTGTAGAGTACACACAACCGCTTCAAATTTAACTTTAATATAGGATTTTTTGAGGGCCTGCCTGGAAAACATTTGGACAGTTCCAGTGACTTGAGAGTTTCAGAAGTCTTTAGAGGAGGCTTTTGAAGAGCAGTGTAGGTAGCTGCAGTGCTTCCTGGATTCTTCATTTGTTAGTTAAGAATAAAAATTCTATTATGCAGTTTTTAGAAATTGGTGTAATTTTGAAATACAAGTTCAACTTCTCTTTTATGGTACTGTGTATTAATTCCCAATTAATGAATACTCTAGTGAAGCTGGCTATGGTAAGTATGAATCACTGAAAAGGGATGAAAAGTTGATAACAGTAGGCCAGGCAATCAGTGAGTATCTAGAACTATTAGGAGCAGTAAGAAACTATAATTTAATTAGAAAAAATATATACTAAGTCTTATTAATGGTAAACTGTTGGTCATATGCAAAAACAACTTTAATATTCAGAAGAGAATATATATATTTCACTTTTTTAAAGCAGAAGGATAAGGAATTCCAGTCTTAAAATACTGAAAGCAAAATATCTTTTCCTGCATATGTGTCTAGGAAGAATATAAAAATGGAATATACTACTACTAATGCATCTTAAAAGCCACATTACAAAGTCAAAAACTCAGAATCTAGTTTATCACATGGTAGAGATTTCCTCTGGAGTTTTATTGCTGTATATCATCATCTTGAAGAGTATCAAATAGATCTGAGTGCAGCTATTTTTAGACACTTTGAGTAGTGCCTGCCTTTTCTTTTAATCCTATTGATTGAATATTTATGGAGTAGGTTGCTCTCTGGTGAGCACAGTTTCAGGATCTACCCAGATGATACTTCGGAGCAAGCTATAAGAAGTACTTTGTATTTCTAGTCCAATTGCTACTCCTCAGCTGAGACAAGAGAAATTCCCTTCTTCCCTGTGTGCATCTGACTCACTCAAGGGCCCAGCCTGAAATTCTGAAGTGTGATGTGTCACTTTTGTTGCAGTCTCTATTTTAATGTCCTCATATACCCTTGTGAAGTGCCAAGTGAAGGTTCTGCATCTGGGTCAGGGCAATCTCCGGTGTTAATACACACTGGTGGATGAATGGATTGAGACCATCCCTCTGAAGAAGGACTTGGGAATAGTGGTAGATGAAAAATTAGACATGAGCCAGTAATGTGTACTTGCAGCCAAAGATAGCCACCCGTACTCTGGGATGCATCAAAAAAAATGTGGCCAGCAGGTCAAGGCAGGTGATTCCTGCTCTGCTCTGGTGAGACTCCACCTGCAGTACTGCATCCAGTTCTGGTGTCCTAAGCAAAAAAAGAACATGGATGTCTTGGAGGGAGTCCAGAGGAGGGCCACAAAAATGACCAGAGGGCTGGAGCATCTCTTCTGTGAAGACAGACTGAGAGAGTTGGGTTGTTTCACCTAGAAGAGAGAAGATCTTGTAGTGACCTTTGATGTATAAATTTGGCTTATAAGAAAGATGGAGAGAGACATTTTACCAAGGCCTCTTGTTACATGACAACAGTCATTGGTTATGAACCAAAAGTGACTGTATTTGGTACAGGAAAGAAATTAGTCACAATGTAGGTGTTGAGACACTGAAACAGGCTGCCCAGAGGAGCTGGGGATGTCCCATCCCTGGAAGTGTTCAAGGCCAGGTTGGATGGGGCTTTGTGCAGCCTGGTCTAGTGGAAGGTGTCTCTGTCCATGGCAGGGGAGCTGAAACGAGATAATCTTGAAATGTCCCAACCAAAACCATTCCATGATTTTATGACTCCATACAAGTGGACCAAATGAAAATGCCATGGACAATCTGAATTACAAGAACTCCTGGAAGTTTCGGAAGATTTGTCAAATCTGATTTTGAAGAAGGATGGAACCAAGGTTAAAGTTTGGTGGAGGTACTCATAATAAAAAATTCAGCTTAAATGCTTCGCTAGGGAAAATCCTAGAAGTGACTGAAAACAGGGTTACGGAATGATAAATCATTAGACAGGCCTGTCAGTACTCATCACATCCAGTTTAAACCCCCAGGTCAGTCTAAGTGGTCATAGTCCTTCCCCTGCTTCTCCGGTATTGCTGTCAGATGAACTCCATAGGAACAAGCACTTTAAAGAGTAATGGTAATAAACATTATAGTTTTATTTTTATATAAAGATTAATATAAGGCAGATTCCGTCCGATTTTTCTGTAGTACAGTACATTCAGTGTGTGGAATTTCACTGTTGAATTACAGCTATGAAAATTTCCAAGGGGGAAGAAGCTAACAAGTTTTGTCTGAACACTGCAGGAACAGTATATGATCCCACATCTATGCAAGCAACGTTAGTGGAAAAGTAATTCTGAAATTAGGTCATTCAACAAGGAACAGATTTTGTATTTAATTTTTGTAGTTGACATCATAGACTCAGTTCTTTCTGTAGTAACCCCTTTGAGTCTATTCCTACTGATGTTCATTCATGATTTTAAAGAATGACAATGGGTTTCTGCTAATGTTTCCTTCCAATTTAGAGCATTTTTAAACATCTATTTCTTCAAGACTGTCATTTTAAGTTCTAATACTTCTTCTCGCTGTGCTTGTTTTTTCTTTTTGCCCAGTTTCTACATTTTTCACCAGCCATTGATATATTCTTGCCCATCCATTTATCTTTGGAAAAACAAACTCCTAAATTGCAGGGCATTGGTGGTGTCTGCTTCTTGTGGACAGATATCCTGAGATATGGCAAAGAGGCTGACAGCAGTATTGATTGCTCCTACATGTTTTGTTCTATATGCAAGTACTATTAGGAGCTTTCAGAGAGGTTGAAGGAGCTCTAATGGCTGTCTCAGCTCATGAGAAACCCTCAGCTTCTTATCTATATTTACATCCTCCTGCACAATCAGCCAGAAGGGTTAAGGTGGCAAACTTCACAATGGGCTTGCAGAAGATTAAGTTTGGTGGTGGGAAGTATTTGCTCAACCTGTTCTACGTTCATGCTCTGTGTATGTTTACATGTGATGCTTACTATTTCAGGTACTGTTTGTATTGAGATACTATTTCCAGTTTATCAAGACTGGAAATTAATCTGAGAAGATCCAGGCCTGCTACTTAGTAGGTTCTCTGCAGAGAGAAGAATGAGCTATATTTATTCTCTGAATGACTCCTTTCCCAGTGCCTGCTTTCTTCTCACCCTAGTCTTTGCTGAAGCATTTTCTGGCGTTCCTGTAGTGTTGTGTGCAGGGTGAAAGCCAGATTAGTTATGTCACAAAACCTAAACTAATTCTTGAGGTCTGCTTGGGCTCATGTTAATGGATTATGTGTGAGAATGTTACAGATATGTGAGCAAACAGACGGCAAAACACAATGCTGTAAATAAAACTGCAGGCCTTGAGGGCTGCAGTGTTTCTCAGGCTGCCTTTATGCAGAGCCAGAGGGCTTCTGCAATTTATTTTGCTCCCACTTCCTCCTGGGGGCCAGGTCTTCTTAAAGCAAATCAGGATAAGAGACCAGTAAGGCCTGCCTGAAGAGACCAGAGGGGTCCTTCTGTTGAACTTCATCCCTGCAGGTAGGGTTATGCAGAGTAAGACAGCCTGCATGGTGGAGAGAACATCAATACTTATTTGAAAATAAGGGACAAAGGTGCAGGCAAAATCTGTAGCAATAGCATCTATTTGTAAATTATACCAGGAAGAGCTATCTGCTAATGAGAAGTTAGATAGTCTTCACTGTTTTTTATGGTGATGTTTTGCTTTTTCTAATTCTCTTCCTGATATAATTTTCTAGCATATCAAATACTAATTACGAATTATAATTATGCGGCACTACTATTACCCAACAGCAAACTCAGCCAGGATCTTATGAAATGAAGCTGCAAGTGATTTCTCATTTAGGAAAATGCAATTTTCTGTGTTACTGCTGTGGGAGAATGTTGTCGTATCTCAGCTGACGCCGTACACTGTTCTAGACAATCTTTGGTTATTAGGTGATAAACCACTGTGCTGTTGCTTGTGGGTTTTCACTGTACCTGTTTGCAGACTCAGGTAATTATGCTCTTTTGTCTAATTGCTTATTTATGGATGTTTTGCTTGCATGTTTTAAGCACTGCTATTTGATTGCATCCCTAATGGCAGGGTTCCTCTCTCATTATCACACCATAACACCGCGTTTGTCTGATTGCTGCAGGTGGAAACAATAGGTGATGCGTACTGCGTTGCAGCAGGGCTCCATAAGAAAAGCCTTAGTCATGCCAAAGCCATTGCCCTGATGGCACTGAAGATGATGGAGCTTTCAGAAGAGGTTCTTACTCCAGATGGAAGCCCGATTAAGGTAACCCCTTTGCTCTTTATTCTCAGCTAGTCAGTGATAGACGACCTGCTTCATTTCCTTGTGTTCTGTGCCAGAAAGTTGACACTTGCATCACTATGTCTGCAGCTCTGATGGCCACACGCCTCTTCTCCAAATCAGTGTAAACCTGCATAAAAGAAGGATCTGGGGACTGCCTGCTCTTTCTCACTATTAATGTGCTTCCTTCCCATGCTATGCCATTTCTGTACCCTACTTTGCTACGGGGGGCGGGGGGAAGCCAGATGTCCTTTTGTAACATTTTCGAGTTTCTCTGCTGTTCTGCTTCTTTTAGCCCTATACCAACATATTCAAAAGAATACCATGCTGAAAAAATATGTTGGACTATGCATCTTGAAGAAAATTCTGTTAAAGCTTCATATGAACATTCATTGAACACAAAATAAGCATTAAAAGACTGAAGATACCAAAAGATACAGCATTTTCAGTTTTGATATAAAACTATTTCAAACAGATGTTAATTTAATTCTACTAAAATATATATTTTTTTGATTGATTTTATTTGCTTTTCCAATAACTGTAAGCAATTATATGTGCTAACTACACTGGTATGTGCTGGGAGAGCTGTCTTCCGGAACCTCTTCATATTTTCACTTTCTTTTGAGTCATTGCTTCAATTGTAGGGAAATTTTGACGGTGTATGTTTTACTCCAAGACTTTCTTTTTGTGACTGTTCTCATTACCACACATTATTTTTCAGAAAATTCCTCTTATTTTCACTGTCTGCATAAGAATACCTGTAAAAGAAAGACATGAAGACATTGCAGAGGAAATATGTGTATAGTAAAATGCTGGAAATAACCAAATATTTTCAAAAAGTGCTAATAAACCTCCTTTGGAATTCAGAAGAAAAAAGTTTATCATACTTAAACTGAAAGTAGAGGTACTGAGAAGCTCATCAAAATTTCTTGTTCTGTTTTAAGTGTAATAGATTTCAGGGCAGGAGGGGTGATGTTGTAGAATGTTCTTACCTTTGTACCTAACCTGGAAGCTGTGCTTAAAAATAAAGCTTATCTTTCATAGAGGCATATTCTGATTTGTTTTAAAGTTTATTAAGATTAGGGTTCCTCTCATGTGGATATATTTACCCTGTAAACTACTGCACTTAAGGACTTTCGGAGAAGTCTACTTTAGTTTGTCCTAGTTTAGATGTCTACTCTAGGATGAGATGAATCACTCCCTAAAAATGTGTACTTTTTCAGTTGTCTGTAAGGGAGATCTATGTGCTTAACCTAAATGTGGATGTCTATGCGCTGAGCTTCTACACTCTGTCACATGAGTCCTCCTACAAGTGGCAAGGAATGCATAGTTCTTCCTAGTGGCTATGTCAATGATCATCACAGTTAAGAACATTAATTCTAAATTCAGTTGGCATGACTTTTGCCTTCCAGACAATGTTAAATTGGCGAGAATGATCCCTATTTTTGTTAGTCGGCAGTTTTTCACTTAAAAAAAAAAAAGGAAGGGGCCCATTGTGCCACAGATTCCCATTAGCAAATATTCCATGTGCATTAAAATGCCTTAAAGCAGCATCAGGGGAAGTTCAAATTGGATTTAAAGAAGATGTGGTCAAGCACTCAAACAAGGTTCTCAGGAAAGTGGTCATGGCCCCAAGCCTGTACATGTTTAAGTGCTTGGACAGCTCTTAAAAATATGACTTAACTTTTACGTTGCCCTGTGTGAAGGTTTATAGAATGTATGTATTTTCTAAATTACTTTGATGGATGTATTTTGTTGTCATCTCAAGGCTGAATTCACCAGAATGCAAGGATTTACTTTTTGTGGTTCTTGAAATGTTCATCCCTGTGATAGCAGTGAATATCTTATTAAGTGACACTTCAAGTCTCAAAAAGTTAGGATGAAAAAGTAAATGAATAAATCAAAAAAAATACCATAACACATAAACTGGAATTTAGGATAAGATTTTCTCCTATCAAGTGCATTAGTAGATGATGAAATGAGGCTTGTTATCTGGGTAGACTGTAATCATATGAAGGTGTTCATTGTAGTGATCACAAAAATAACTTTTTTGAAGAACCATGTAGACTTCATGGAAAATCTGCCTCTTAGAGCAATGCTAGTGTGGGCAGTGAGCAGTGATATGTTGGAACCCTGGATGCTGAGAATTTTAAACTTTCTGTGCTAAAAGGCACAGACTTGCAAGAGAGCACTACATTTCACCTGAGGCTGTGGAGAAGGCTTCCAAAATTGATTAATAGCACTGGGATTACAGGTGTGTAGTTGGTTAGAAGTGTAATATCTCAGGGTGGAAAACCTAGAGTTTGGGGTTTTAGAATATAGAAATATGAAGATGGATGTTTTAGGGCAGAGGCAGGTTGTTCATCTTCCTTCTTCTTCATGGGTTTGGGTGATGTTTTGTAATTGGACAGAAAAGTCCTCATTGCGGGCTTTGAGGGATCAGTTATTGGGTTAAAAGGGCAAATAATCAAGGTGTCATTTCTTAACTGGACAGTTTAGTCTTAAAAGAGATTGTAACAAGGGATAGTTAGTCATTTTGTGTCTTGCTAATGAAGGGCTGCAGAACTGGTGGTGGTGAGGCAGCTTCACTGATAGGAAACAATAAACACTTGAGTCCAAACATGAAGTGCCTTCAATCCTGACCCCGACTGAGGCAGAAAAAACAAGCAGAGAACTCACATGATGGATCTCAGGATGGTGGCCAGGTGTACGAAGCAGGTCTGGTTTGTATCCAGGTGATGCTCCCTGTTCTGAGTCAGAGCTCATAGCACGCTGATGAGAGCACCGTGGTGTGCAGCTGAGACCTACTCAGGTGTTCAGCACTTCCAGCAGAGCCAGAGGCAGCTCAAGTGCATGAGCAGGATGGGGACTCTGTGCCAGCACTCCTTATACCTGTGTGAGCAGCCTAGGACTTGAAGGGTAATGAGGAACTGTTATTTTGCAGAAAGAGAGAGTGAGCTGCGTTATAGCAGAACACACAAATCCTATCATCAGTGATGTAACACAGCCTGCCCTCTTAGAAAGAAATATTTGTAACAGAAAATGGGCTGATCATTCCCCTGTGAGTGATGGAGGAGGCTTCAGGTCCCTGTGTGATTTTTTTAGACTCAGTTCGACTAGAGACAAAATCCCATTACTTTAGAATGATCTAAGGCCTTAGTAAAAAAAGAGGGACTTTTGCTTCAGACACTGCATGTAGAATTTGATATGCGTTTTTATCCTTTCAGCATAAAATTTTACTTTGGAAGCACTCCTTTGATTTATATTCTGTACAACTATTTATATGTAGTGCTTTATGACTTTAGTCTGAAAATATTGATTTAAAATTGCCTCCTACATTTAAGTGTGTTACTTGAGTATAGGATGTGCTTCGTACTTTACTACATTTTTTTTTTTTTAGATAAAGTGGAATTACATTAATTTTAATAGCTAGAGATAATACTGTAAGAGGAATTCTCCAGGGCATTGACCTTCAGTGAAAGGTTGCAGTGCAGATATGGAATTCCTAGAGAATACTATTACTTGGATAACTTTTTATCATGCCTCAGTGCTTACCTAATTAATCAATGTGTAGTGTATATCCAAAGAAAGAGAAAGACCTCCTTTTCAGTTTTTTTTCAAAAGGGCTGCTGTGGCAGAACATACCTAGTTTCCACTAATGAGATTTCCCTAGAGAAAACTATCTGCTCTTTTTTGTGGTGTATGAAGGTTTATGTAGTAGGGTCATGAAGAGATAAGAACTGGGAACTCAGAGGAAAAGTAAACGATTTACATGAAGCTGCTGAAATTAACTACAATTATTTAGATTAATTGTGTGCAGGTGTTCTTGTCTAAAACATAACAGTTGAGCCCTACCACAGCAATTCAAAACACGTTGCAAGATGTTTTTCTACAGCAGAAAAATGTTATCTATATTTGAAATTATTTATGTTACCATAACATGAAAATTATACCCGTAAATACTGTAATCCCAAGCCGAAGCAAATACATCCTCCTACCTTTGTTTTTGCTCACTTTCTAATGACTAGTTTGTGAAATACTCTAAACAGAGTAGTGCAGTGATACTGGCTTCAATGTGATTAATTTATTCACAGGTGAGGTAGATGGGACCTTGCATTTGCATGGCACATAATCTGGCACTTGGCTCAGTTGTTTCTTTATTATCACTTGAAGCGTCTAACCTTCAGATGTGCATTGCCAAAGCTATTTTATTATTGGATTTGTAGGCTGCACTCAAACAGTGTAGGCATTAACATCATCTGATTTCAAGCACTGACAGTGTAAACAGGTATGGCTAAACTTGTTATTGTAGTTCCCTCTTAAATGAAGAGGGAAAAATTAGTCTGTATTCATCTGAAATGCTTGCAGTGTCTACTGTATAATGAAATATATGAATTAATATTTGTCAGGTAAGTCCTACCTCAAGAGTGAACAGGTTAATGACCTCTCAGGATGGATGATCCCACTGGAAAGAGCTGAACTGAAACAGAGGTTCACAACTTTGATCAATCACGGTTTTTCCATTTGAATTTTAGATGTGATGCAGATTTTCTATATTTCAGCTTTCCATGTATAGGTGAGAAATAAAGCTTTATGGGTAGAACCATTAGTTTAGCATGTCTAAGATGTATGAGCTTACAGCCATGCAGCTGCATTAATTTTGGTTTATGTTGTCTATTTAAATACCTGTAATCGTGATGACTGAAACAATGAAAGCCTGAGTTAGATAAACCTCTAATCTCTGCTTGCCAAGTGGTAATTTTGACTAGCATGAACTCAGACTTGTGAGTAAGGGCACAGAAGTGTCAGAAGGGCTCTGTAGATTGTAATGGTTTATGGCCACAGTGACTAACACTCTTTTCTAAATAACATGGAATGGAGCAATGAATTTTAGAGTGCACACCGTCTTCTGCTGGTTCATTAAGTATTCCCCTTTGTATTTCAGTGATATGCCACTTGGGTCCAGGACCCTTGTAGGAAGTGCC